CCTTGTATCAGTGGTCAGTGTAGTGGTCCCTTACATTGGTGACTAATGGGAGAAGGACCTCCTTATATCAGTGGTCAGTGTTGTGGTCCCTTACATTGGTGACCAATGGAAGAAGGACCCCCTTATATCAGTGGTCGGTGTAGTAGTCCCTTACATTGGTGACCAATGGGAGAAGGACCCCCTTATATCAGTGGTCAGTAGGAGAAGGGCATTCTTACCTTGTTATAAAGCAGAGATACTACCTTCCTTACAGATCTTTAATACCAGCTGTTACTGGGAGACAGAAAATGTTCAAGGAACCCCTAGAACCCTTTGGAGGACCCCTGGCTGAGAAAGGCTGGACTGGGCAGTCAAATATTTCTGTCCCCCTTGGTGGGAGTGGAGGTGACCCCTCTATGAGGACATACAGTAAATACCCAGCACAAGGCCGGGGTCACACTCGGGGCTGCAGTTCCTCTGAGCTCCACTAGGTGGGGATCTCATTTCTAAAATGACAAAAATGAAGATGGAGGAGGACCTCAGTCACATGACTAAAAGTATACTAAACCTCACCCTGGAGATCATCTACCTGCGGAGAGGTGAGGAGGATTCTGGGAGGTCACATGACATCACTCTCATTTCTATTAATAAAACACAGACCTGATCGGAGAGGTGAGGAGGATTCTGGGAGTCTAACATGATATTCCTATTGGTTCCCCAATACAGATATTTCCTCCACTCAAGTCAGGTGATTATATGACCATCACAGTGCCTCCATGTGACTCCCTAAAACCCTGAGAGACACAACATGGAGAAGTTTCTAGAAGTCACCAAGAAGATGATGGAGCTGCTGACAGATGAGGTGAGCGGTGCCGGGAATTCTGGGACATTCTCCAGTAACAGACAAGGGATGTGTCTGGATGGTGACTGTATCATGTGTGTGTCAGGTTCCTATAAGGTGTCAGGGTGTCACTGTCTATTTCTCCATGGAGGAGTGGGAGTATTTAGAAGGACACAAGGACCTCTACAAGGACGTCATGATGGACAATCAGCCGCCCCTCACATCACCGGGTAAGAGGAGACTTTATTGGAAAGGAGAGAGCAGTACGGAGGGTCCACATAGATCCCCCATCATCTGATAAACACATAGAAACAATGGATTCAGTCAGTGTGTGTGTTTCCTACAGATGGATCCAGTTATGGGAACCCCCACCACAGAGATGTCCCCGTCCTCTGTATTCCTGGGATTCTACACAGGAAGGTCACACCATCCCTCACCATCATCAGGTAGATTGATCCAGTCATGGGAACCCTCCAGAGAGATGTCCCCGTCCTCTGTATTCCCGGGATTCCACACAGGAAGGTCACACCATGCCTCACCATCATCAGGTAGATGAGGAACAATCACTGATAGTATCATTAGGATCTGTACATTATCTGCATTGTTACCATTGATGTCATTTTTATTATATATTCAGAGTGGAAACCTGAGAGATTCTACAGTTGAGGTTAAAGAAGAGATAAAAAAGGAGGAGTATGGAGTGATGGAGGAGTCAGAGATTCCAGAAGGACACAAAGATCTGTACTAGGACACCATGGTGGAGTCATCCAGCTACAGGAACCCACCAGAGAAATGTCTCCGTCCTCTGTATTCCTGGGATTCCACACAGGAAGGTCACACCATCCCTCACCATCATCAGGTAGATGGATCCAGTCATGGGAACCCACCAAAGAGATGTCCCTGTCCTCTGTATTCCCGGGATTCCACACAGGAAGATCACACCATCCCTCACTGTTACAAGGTTGGTAGGTCAGAGCATCTAGAACATGGACTTGTGGAGACAATCTGTGGATTTTGTTTTCAGTATTTAATATGACAAGTTTAACTCTTTTTTTACAAATGTTATTTTCTCTCCTTCTCTTGGTTTAGGGTGAAGATCTGACAGATATAAAAGTTGAGGTGAAATCAGAAGAATAAGAGGCGTATGTGAGGGATGATCAGCAGTCTATGAAGGAGGATGGAATAACGGGGACATTTATAGAGGAGGACACTCCTACAGAGTTCATCACAGGTGGGTCATGAACACTAAATCCATTCCTCCACCCATACTGCTCACTGATTGGTCCAGAGTAGGGCGGGGGCAGGGTGATATCACTTTCCTGAGCTGTGTTCCCCGTCCTGTATTCCTGGATTTCTCTCGGATAATCTTCCTTCTCTGTGCTGCAGACACAATTTATATCTCTAGACTGGATTTATGGAGGTTCTGGGGTTCAGCTGGTAGTAACATGTTGAATTTAATTATAGACGTGTTTCTTCACCTAGACACCCAGGGGATGAGTCTTGGGCCCATTTCAGCTACATGAGTCAGTGCGGGGCGCACTGTCTGCCAGCTTTGATTTTTATCGACAGATCAGAACATATTTAATCTCTCATAAAAGCTAAAATATTAGTGAGAGCGTGAAAATCCTTCCTTCTGATTGGACACAGGCTCCATCTACATGTAAAACTGTATTTGTAGCCCTTGTAGAATCCCGCAGAAATGCACAAAACGGTTATATGGCGCCTGATTGCGACAGCTGAACAGTGATTAGTAGTGCCGCCATCGAACCGATGCACTGGTGTTGTAAATCCTATCCCCCAACCCAGCCATTAGAACCTTTCCTGGCCCATTTGAGATTGGGCACTTCAGAACACAGAATGCTCTGTGGGCGGAGACAGGAATACCCCCCCCCCCCAGGTTTGATTGGCTAAGGGCTAATGTCCAGCCCACATCCATTTCCAGGCTTTCTCTGACTTGCTCCAGTCGCAGGATAACTCTTGGTAAAAGTTTTATTTCTGTTTTTTATTCCCTTTTTTTCACAGCGAATAGCCAATTGTGAGTCTTTTTGGTCATTCTTTTTCTTTGTATATATTTTAGGCTCCGCCACCTTTGGGATATTAAATCATAAAATTAATAAGTGACTTCTGTGTACTAAGCTCGGGCTCATATCTCCAGAGAGATTGTTGTATTGTAGTGTCTATGTGCTCGGTCTAAGTTCATTGCCAATCTGTAGGCCATTGCACTGTGTGTTGGCAGATTGCATGCAGATTGTAAAGTAGCAGATCTGCCAGACGGAGATCCGTGTGTGTGTGGTGGCCCAGCAGACCAGTCTTCGGACAACTGTTGGGTGGTGGCAAGCTATCATTTGTGTGTGTCGGGTGTGGGGGGGGGAGGGGTTGTCCGATGTGGGGGGGGGGGTGTGTTTGGCGTGGGTGGGTGCATGCAGATTGTAAAGTGGCAGATCTGCCAGATGGAGATCCGTGTGTATGTGGGGGCCAAGCAGACCAGTCTGTGGACAAACTGTTGGGTGGTGGCAAGCTACCGTTTGTGTGTGTTAAATGTGGGGGAGAGGGGTTGTCCGATGTGGTGTGTGTGGGGAGGGGGTGTGTCTGGTGTGGACAGTGGAAGAGTGAATGACACCAGAGTTCTAGCTCATAGGATAGCTGGAGGAATCCTAGAAGGGGGGTGTGTGATTGCTAGACTGCTCCCCAACCCTTAGTAGAAGATGAGGACATCACACAGTATAGTCCAGATTGTATGTAAGATTTGTATCTGCCTGTGTGTGGTCAGCCAGCTGGATTGGAGTCTCCCTCTAGTGGTGGCCAGGGGTAGTGCGGGTCTGTGAAAGTGTACCATGGCCAGTCTTATATGTTCAAAGTAAGTCCCCCTCATTCCCTCTTTACCCCAAGTCGCCATGCGCATGTGTTTCTGTAACAAAGAGGGAGGAGCCAATACCCCAATGATGGTGGTCTTCAGGATGGGGAGGAGCCAATAACCCAATGATGGTGCTCTTCTGGATGGGGGAGGAGCCAATACCCAAATTATGGTGGTCTTCAAGATGGGGGAGGAGCCAATACCCCAATGATGGTGCTCTTCAAGATGGGGAGGGCCAATGATGGTGGTCTTCAGGATGGGCGAGGAGCCAATAACCCAATGATGGTGCTCTTCTGGATGGGGAGGAGCCAATACCCAAATGATGGTGGTCTTCAAGATGGGGGAGGAGCCAATTACCCAATGATGGTGCTCTTCAAGATGGGGGAGGAGCCAATGATGGTTGTCTTCAGGATGGGCGAGGAGCCAATAACCCAATGATGGTGGTCTTCAGGATGGAGGAGGAGCCAATAACCCAATAATGGTGCTCTTCAGGATGGGGGAGGAGCCAATGCCTAAATGATGGTGGTCTTCAGGATGGGGAGGAGCCAATAACCCAATGATGGTGGTCTTCAGGATCAGTCCTAGCTTCATCTTGGTTGTTCTCCCCCCCTTCCTCACTCTCTGACCTCTGGTGGGGCTCAGTCCCGCTGTTCTTCATGACTAAATCATGGACTAAATCAGGAAGTGCAGTACTTCTTGTGTTGGGAAGATGGCGATGAGTAATAGAGGGGGTGGGGACCCTCGTCCTATAATCCCCTCATCACTGTCCCTCCTATAAAAGACAGTTCTGGTTGTTTCCTCACTCTCTGACTAAGATCCATGAATAAAGAAATGACCTGATAGGAGATCAGAGGAGCCATTTCCTAGTTCCCTTGAGGATGGAATTGTAAGCTCCTCAGAGCCCAAGCTGCCTGATGTGGGCGGAGTCCTGGTTTGGGGCAACCAATCAGCTCCTGTCTAGTAATCCTCTTTGTCTTTGTATTTTAGTCCATGGCGGGGAGATGAGGAAAACCTCCGAGGATTGTCTCACTTTGTCTCCAGACTGGAAAGTAGAAGATGAGGACATCACACAGTATAGTCCAGGAGAAAACCCGGCTCCCTCCAATGTCCATCCGGCACCACCCAGTGTAGATGGACCATCGGATTCCTCATATCCTGAGGACCCTCAGACTGTGAGGGACCTGGCCAGCCTTCCAACAGAGAAGAGGTTCTCCTATGCTGAGTGCGGGAAATGTTTCCATTATAAATCCTATCTTATTCTGCATAAAAGATCTCACATGGGGGAGAAGCCGCATTCCTGTCCTATGTGCAGGAAATGTTTTTCAGACAAGTCCAATTTTTACAGACATAAGAAATTGCACACGGGGGAGAAGCCGTATTCATGTCCTGAGTGCGGGAAATGTTTTTCAAGGAATTTACATCTGTGCAGACACCAGAGATTGCACACGGGTGAGAAGCCATATTCCTGTTCCGAGTGCGGGAAATGTTTTGTACAAAAATCAGAACTTGTCAGACATCTAAGGTCTCACACAGAGGAAAAGTCCTATTTCTGTCCTGAGTGTGGGAAATCTTTTTCATACAAGTCCCATCTTTACAGGCATCAGAGATCACACACAGGGGAGAAGCCTTATTCCTGTTCTGAGTGCGGGAAATGTTTTGCACAAGTCAGATCTTGTCACGCATCAGAGGTCTCACACGGGGGGAGAAGCCATATTTATGCTCTGAGTGCGAGAAATGTTTTGCAACAAAATCAGAGCTTGCCACGCATCAAAGTTCTCACACGGGGGAAAAGCCTTTTTCCTGCCCTGAGTGCAGGAAATGTTTCTCAATCAAGTCCCATCTTTGCAGACATCAGAGATCTCACACGGGGGAAAAGCCTTATTCCTGTCCTGAGTGCGGGAAATGTTTTGTGGAGAAATCAGGACTTGTCACACATCAAATGTTTCACACGAAGATAAAGCCGTATTCACCTTGTCCTGAGTGCAGGAAATGTTTTTCGCAGACGTTTAATCTTTACAGGCATCAGAGATCTCACGCGGGGGAGAGGCTGTATTCCTGCCCTGTGTGCGGGACATGTTTTTCAGATAAGTCCTACCTTTCCAGACATCAGAGATCTCACATGGGGGGAGAAGCCACTTTCCTGTCCTGAGTGAAGGAAATGTTCCTCACTGTAGTCCTGCCTTCCTGTACAGCAGGGGTCCCACACAACCCTGGAGGTGTACTAGTGCCTTGAGTGCGGGAAATGTCTTCTAGATGAATGTTGCTGGACAGCCCAGCTCTCATGTGGGGAAGAAGCACCCCCTGATATACACCTCAGATATACTCCATGGCTGATCCTCATCATAAGGAGGTCAGAGGTCACCAAAGACGTGGATGAAGTGTGGAACCAGGTTGGCCATTGATGGCAGGAGAAGAATAAAAATGGAATCATCACCTGTCATTGGCTGAGTGGATTTTGTGGTGGGAAATTTTGCAAACACTTTGAGGTCTGTTGGAAATATTTGGATAAATGTGAGAATCGTTCGATCAGCTGTAACAAATGTTGGACTTGATTTCATCCAGTGATTTCCTATGATCTTCAGCGCCACCGACTGGCCGTAAATATCCCCTCCCCACCCTCCATATTCGGGATTATCCCCTCCCCCCCTCCATATCCGGGATTACCCCCCCCCCCCTCCCCCCCTCCATATTCGGGATTATCCCCTCCCCCCCCCTCCATATTTGGTATATCCCCTCCCCCACTCCATATCCAGGATTACCCCTCCCCTCCATATTCGGGATTATCCCCTTCCCCCCTCCATATTCGGGATTATCCCCTCCCCCCCCTCCATATCTGGGATTACCCCCTCTCCCATTGTCTATGTTGGGATCTTTTCTACAATACTTTGTTATAACAATGGAACACGTGTATTGTACGCCAATCAATAATGACTCCGCCTCCACATTCCAGACAGGGGATCTTCTTGACCAATCGGATTTCTGCCTATCCTGATTTCCTGATTTGTAATCTTGTTAAAGTAAAATTTCAATAAAACGTTTATTAATGAAATAATGAATTGGGTGTCGGAGCGATGATGGCGAAAGACGTGGGAAGGACCCCCTTATATCAGTGGTCAGTGTGGTACAGTGGAAGGACCCCCTTACATTGGTGACCTATGGGAGAAGGACCCCTTATATCAGTGGTCAGTGTAGTGGTCCCTTACATTGGTGACCGATGGGAGAAGAAGGACCCGCTTATATCAGTGGTCAGTGTAGTGGTCCCTTACATTGGTGACCGATGGGAGAAGGACCCGCTTATATCAGTGGTCAGTGTAGTGGTCCCTTACATTGGTGACCGATGGGAGAAGGACCCCTTATATCAGTGGTCAGTGTAGTGGTCCCTTGTGAAATAGGTATAAGTGAGCGCTAAAGGTAAAAAAGCTGCTGGACACAAAAGGTACCAAAAACAACCTCCAAAATTCACATACAGATAAGAGTGCAGCGCTTATAAAAACAAATGAAACATTTAAAATCTATGACACCCAAAATTATATATCAAAGTGCAAGGGTGTATAACTGCAAAACGCAGGCAAGATATAGTTCTTATGCTGTCCCTTATAGGGTGATTTGATATGGTAGAGGTGCTCAGTTCACAATCTCCCAGTAGGTGGGGTGAGGTGGGGGATCAAATGGATCCCTGTTGACACACGGTGATAACCAAGAAAAACGATATGTGGCAATATCCAAAATTGGTATAAGATTGTGCACTCACCAGATGCACAATCAATATGCGCATGTAAGAGATAACCCTCTTAAGGTATGACTCCAGGACTCATCTGAAGCAAGGTCTGGTCTATTTCTGCATTGTGGACCCTCAGCTGTCATGCATGGCTCTGTTCCCCTATTGCTCTTGGCTCTGTAGGTGGTTGGAAGCTCACCAAAGAGCCCCAGAGAGAAAAGGAGGCCAGAATAGCGTGATACTGCTTAAACATGCGTGTGTTTATTCCATCCAGCATAAAAGGGTATAATAACACAATACTGACCAGACAAGAAAGTAAGTTGGCCGCCGGGACCCCAGGGGTGCCGGCGGCAATAGAACGTCACTGTGCCGCAGTTCCTCTCTGACGCGTTTCGTGCAACCGCACTTACTCATAGGGGGTATGCTTGCGATCCGTGACAGTCAGTGTAGTGGTCCCAATGGGAGAAGGACCCCCTTATATCAGTGGTCAGTGTAGTGATCCCTTACATTAGTGACCGATGGGAGAAGGACCCCCTTATATCAGTGGTCAGTGTAGTGGTCCCTTACATTGGTGACCAATGGGAAAAGGACCCCCTTATATCAGTGGGAGAAAGACATTCTAACATCGTCATCAGTGGGAAGACTGCCCCCCTTACAGATCATGAGGACATACAATCCATACACACTCAGCACAAGGCTGGGGTCACACTACCAGACGGTTCTTGAGGATGAGAGTTATTGAGAGACAGAAATTGTTCATTGCTTCAGGAACCCTTTGGAGGAACTCCTAGAACCCTTTGAAGGAAACCTGGCTGAGAAACGATGGACTAGGCAGTCATATATTTCTCTCTCCCTTGGTGGGAGTGGAGATGACCCCTCTATAAGATGTGATATTTGTGGGGTTCCACTCGGGTGTACTACATTTCCAGGGAACTCACTCCAGCCAGGAAATACTGTTCTTGAGAGCTTGTTGGCCCACAGTGAACATTAAAGAAAATGGTTTCCCTCGGAAGGGTTCCTACGATCGCTTCAAACGCAAAGAGAAATGACCCCAAGCTGCTTTCTCTCATGCTCAGGCATCAAGCCTCTGTCTTTGGTCTTTCCTCAGACCATCACTCAGCACCCATGTGCTCACATGCAAATCTGCATCTCTCGCCCATCGCTCTTGGGAAGCTGCCCTGACCCAAGCCGTAGATTCTAGGCAGGGAATCTCATTTCTCCTGGTTAGTGCCATGAACTGCAGGGTTGGAGGCCTCATCCTTCCCAAGGTTCTTTGAAGCCTCCAAACTCAATCCAATCGCAACCCAATCCAGGAGTTACAAAACCCAGAAAAAATTATAATCCACTTTTCTCCATTCACAATAGTCGTTTTAAGAGCTCCTCAGTCTGCAAACCTGAGAATCCTGCGTTCAGTTTACCTCAGGACCCAGCACCATCATACAGTCCATACCCACCCAGCGCCATCCTACAGTCCATACCCACCCAGCGCCATCCTACAGTCCATACCCACCCAGCGCCATCCTACAGTCCACACCCACCCAGCGCCATCATACAGTCCACACCCACTCAGCGCCATCATGCAGTCCATACCAGGGACGTACTGACCATTCGAGCACTCAGGCACTATAGGGGGCCCCATGAAATGCCCCTGGTACCTTTTTATAGGCTTTTATGGGGTGTGCTTTGAGTGTGTGCAAGGACACAGGGACCCCATGATCCCCTATTGCCCGGGGGCCCCATGAGTTGAGTTGTCAGTCCACGCCCACCCAGCGACATCATACAGTCCACACCCACCCAGCGCCATCGTACAGTCCACGCCCACCCAGCACCATCATACAGTCCACACCCACCTAGCGCCATCCTACAGCCCACACCCACCCAGCGCCATCATACAGCCACCCAGCGCCATCATACAGTCCATACACACCCAGCACAAGGCCAGGGTCACACTACCAGACGGTTCTCGGGGTTGCAGTTCCTCTGAGCTCCACAAGGTGGGGATCTCACTTCTACCCAGACAGGAAGGCTCTATGGAAGACAGGAAGTGATGTCAGCTACAGACAGGAAGTGATGTCAGATATAAATAAGAGTTCCATTTGCGAGGAATTGGAGGGAAGACATTGTTGGAAGTGGCAGCAGAGAAGGTAATAAGATTATAATACAGGATTTATATGGCACCAACACTTTGCGCAGCGATTTACAATATAAGGGGGGGCGCGGTACAATTACAATACATTTCAGTACAGAAGGAATAGGAGGGCCCGGCTCGTGGAGCTTACAATCTAAAGGAAGGGGGAGGTGATACAAAAGGTAATAGCTGTGGGGGATGATCTGGTGGAGGTGATTCAAGTACAGTTCTTAGGTGGAGGTGGGGTAGGCTTCCCTGAAGAAGTGAGTTTTCAAAGATCGCCTAAAGGCAGACAGGGTGGGGGCTGACCGGACATGCTGTGGTAGAGAGTTCCAGAGGATGGGAGAGGCTCTGGAGAAGTCCTGGAGTCAAGCGTGGGAGGAGGTGATGAGGGAGCTAGAGAGGAGGATATCATGGGAGGAGCGGAGCGGGCGATTTGGGTGGCATCTGTGGATGAGGTTGGCAATGTAGCTGGGGGCAGTGTTGTGGATGACTTTGTAAGCTGTGGTTAGTATTTTGAATTTTATACGTTGGGTTAGTGGAAGCCAGTGAAGGGATTTGCAGAGAAGGGTGGAGGACACTGGAGGCCAGTGGAGGGATTGG